TCTAATTTTGGTGAATATTTTGTCATTTTGGTAAAAAGTGATATTTTTGACTTTTTGTTAAAAACCGCAAGTCCGATTGCTTTGTTATTACATATATAGGTACTACATGTGGACCTTTCTCAGATTTGTTCATTTTGTGATGATATCTTCAATTCTCTAATTTTGGTGAATATTTTTGTCATTTTTGGTAAAAAGTGATATTTTCGACTTCTTGTTGAAAACTGTAAGTCCGATTGCTTTGATATTACATATATAGGTACTACATGTGGACCTTTCTCAGATTTGTTCGTTTTGTGATGATATCTTCAATTTTCTAATTAATTTATTTTGGTGAATATTTTTGTAATTTTTGGTAAAAAGTGATATTTTCGACTTCTTGTTAAAAACTGTAAGTCCGATTGCTTTGATACTATTCATATTGTTCATTTTCTAATGATGTCTTCAGTTCTTTAATTGAAATGTGCATTGCTAACAGCGGAGCTATCTCAGCCGATAGGCTGCTTGTTTTTTTTGTTTTTTAACATTTTCAACCCAAACAGATATGATTGAGTGAATATTTACAGATAGAGTGTGATAACGTATAAACTGTCATTCATGTAGGTTTGACTTTTCTGATAAGTTGACTTTATTTTATTGGTTTCCCTCGTTTAGTGTGTTATGTTACGTGATTGGTATTGTTTGGATGCTGGCACTTGCCTATAAACCTTTGAATGCCGGTACTTATTTCTCTGAGAATGCCCTGTTACCAGGTCTTGTAGAGAGAGAGTTTTACTATGAACAGGACTGTGTTACTTACACCAACCAAGTTATACAAGAGGTGAACAAAGACAAGTAAGTGGTAGTACATGTATTACTTTGCTAGTAGTAGCAGACATTTGGATATGTCAGGGTGATTATTATTATTAGTCTTAGTAGTCTCCGTCCTAACACGTGTTTTGACCCCTGTTTGTCTGTCTCCATCCTAACAAGTGTTTTGACCCCTGTTTGTCTGTCTCCATCCTAACAAGTGTTTTGACCCCTGTTTGTCTGTCTCCATCCTAACAAGTGTTTTGACCCCTGTTTGTCTGTCTCCATCCTAACAAGTGTTTTGACCCCTGTTTGTCTGTCGCCATTCTAACAAGTGTTTTGACCCCTGTTTGTCTGTCTCCATCCTAACAAGTATGTTATTATACATCTGTCACTGTAACGCCATAAGTTACAGCGTGTCATAATTTTGCGGTATTTTACAGGGTATTTTCATCCTACCATATAAGAAAATGCAAATATGGAATGATTACTCACGTAAGCGTCTTCTAATAATACAAACAAACATGGCTGCCACTAGGATTTGACCAGCCTCCGCACAAGGAAGTCTGCTGATTCTGTTCTAAAGTTTTTGGGTTTCGACATTCCCATGATGTCTTCATGCATACTTAGAAGTATCCTCGTAATAACCTTATATTATTTGTTTAGTGATTTGATTCAACATGGATGACTGCTGGTCATTTTAATCAATGTTGAAAAGTCCTAATAAAAAATCAAGCATTTCTATTGTTTGGAACAGGATCTTTGATACCATTTCTATAGTGCATTATTGAGGCCATGCGATTTTTATGTGAAATATATGAATGAACATGTATACTATGTAAATGTGCAGATTGCCTGAAATAAGTACTAAATGTACAATTTCAATACCTCAGTTTGGCATCACATTTAATTGAGAGTTCAAAGTTTATTTACTAGCGCAAGTTGAATGTTTAGTCTTTCTGTGCACATTGATTTACAAATATTCATCTCTCCTGAATTTCAAAATGTTTTCCGCCGTTCGTCAATATTCATACCATAAAATATTTCACATAAATTTTGAACTTGGGTCTACCGATCATGAGTCTGATGCGACAACCACTATGCTACCAGTGACCGGTGTATTTTTGACATCACACAGGTAGAGCAGTGTGACTGTATGGTTACTGCCTAAGTATGTATAATATGTATAAGTATGTATCCTTTTTATTCACCAGAGTGATGCCAACTGAATGGCTTAGGGAAACCATGATGCAACTAGGACTGGAATCATTCATACAGAATTTTACTGTTCAGCATCCATTCCTTGGTAAAACTGGGAAAGGCAAACAAGCTAAACCCAAGGTATGTGGATGCTACCAAGTTTTAGCAATGTTTAACAGAATAGCCATGTTAACCACTTTTATAAGTCAGATGGGAAGTATGAAGCTGTCAGCCTGTGCCAAGTTTCTGTTGTCAGTGCATGTCCTTGTCACAACATTCTTTCCTATGGGATTCCGACTAATATATTACTGGTGGGTGTTTGCCACCTGTTTGGGTTTACCAATGCAATCACATTTATAAAGCTAAAATAACAACTACCGGATTCTGTTGTAAATTCGCCCATCCGAAAAATCGTTTCACGGCTGGTGGGCCCTTATTTGGGATTCAAATTTTAAAAAAATTGTCATCAAATATTTTTAGAGGGATATATTTTCATTGAAAAATCCACCTACGCCGATTTTCAACACGACAGTTAGACCACCCAAAACAAAAGAAACTATTGCAGAAGCTAATCTAAAATTGTATACATTGTTTTCTAGCTGGATTAAAAAGTAGACCGCGCATCTTTCTCCACAAAAATCACATTAACGAACCTCGTGCGCCAAATTTTTGTTTCATTTTATTAGTAACGAAAGTATATTCAAATTAAAAAAAAGTTTCAAATAACAACGAACACAACTGCATTGCTTAGTAGCAAATGATCGTGGTAACGTAATCTGGTCATGCTGCGTTTTACAATTGTTGATTATTACCTAGTAATGGTTATAATAACGTGCGAAAAATAAATTCGTTGAATTGTTATAAAATGCAAATAAATTTCAACTTATTTCATCGTAAGCGAATGATTTCGATAGAATGATTTTCAACGCTCGATGCTGTAGAAATGAATATCTGCCATATTTGACCTGAGATGGTGTTCTTTGACCTGACAGGTCAAATCGATAATTAACGAATGAAAACGATGGATAATGCCAACGTATTCAAATTACCATAGCACAGTTAAATATGTTATTGAACTCAGCACGGAAAAGATTTGCCGATGTTGTTGTGCGATCTTTTGGCTTGGATTTTGATGGGAAAGCGGCATAATTTGTTTTTAAATAAAAAAATTAGTTGTTTTCAAAAGATAAACTGAGCATTTGAAAAATAATTTAACATTATTTACAGCGATAACAGCTCATCGGCGAAATAAAGCTAACCCATTCACGCTAGTTGCAATAACATCAATACTCTTGAATAGGCGTCAATGACTACAGTGAAACTTTTAGGCATCAGAAAGATTAAAATAACAACTGGCGAAAAATCGTCCTGGGCGGTTTCTTAGTCCCATTTTATTTTTTTTTAAACCTGAACTGCCGTTTAACGGCCCTGGGCGAATTTACGGCAGAATCCGGTAATACTATAAAATACTTTATTTTCACTATTTTCGCTGAAGGAATGATTCAGGTAAAATAAAATCCAGCGAGTATACTATTTTTTCACATTCATCATGTCAAAAATCAGTGAAAACAAATTTCATACAAAACACCCAAAAAGTATTTTCAGTGAAAATTTATTCCAGCTTTGTCAAGGGGTCATTTTCATAATCGGTTTAGTTTGTTGCTGGGAAAGGATTGACGCAAGAAAATTGTTCAGCTTGGAATGTGTCTGAATCCCTCATTAGTATGCAAGAATGTAGGATTGTACCAAGAAAATTGTTTTTCTGGAGTAAATTGTAGTGTATTTTACTTATGAAAGGTCAAAAAGTTCATGGAGATTTTATGGAAATTTGTGGATGTCATGTGGTCACAGTTGCGCAATAAATGATGGACTATTTTGGGCGTAGCTATAAAATGTGTCATCGAAGTACTCACACGTTTGCACGATTCCAATAGTTTGTGGTGTGAAGAAACTCCATTAGAAAATAAGTACTGTATAATTTGTAGTGAGAATGTATTCAAATAGATTTATGTTTAATATGAATCTTGTTTCTTTTCAAAGTGTACTTATATAATAACATTTGTTTATAAAAATGTTTTTTATATTTTTCAATGGATTGAATTTACAAATAATGAGTTATTGTGTTATACCATCACTCGAATTATGTGTTACGAATTTCTGATAGTTTAGGCTTTGTGTTCTTGCGAACTTGAAGGCATTAAACTGTTGTACAGTGGACATCGATAAAAGCAAACATATTTTGAAAGTTGTGAAATCATGGTACTGTTTTGGCATTATACAACTTGCAGTTCCCTTTTGATGGATTTTATGTGACTGGCCGTGTTATTGAACTGTAGTATTATGTAAATCTGACCCGGGAAAATCTGCAAGCAAAGTTTAAATTTCCATTTTATATATCGTTTTGTATAGCGTGGAGTCGTCATCTAAGTATGCACAATTGTTCATCTTGTGTTTCCCGCTGCATTTAAAAATCCCTTTTGAATTTGGGGAACTTTGTGTGGTGTTTGTAAACTTTAGTCGAACTGTAGTAGTGTGTAATAAATCTGCCACAACGTGGAGTTGCCATCGTCTCTTGTTTACGGGTCCCACGAAACACAGCCCGGGACCTACTGATACCATTCTTGCATCTCCCAGTAGGTCAATTAGCGCCAGTAAGTGTCGAGAGTGGTTAGAAACTAGACTGGCCACAGTTGGGCGATTTTTTTCGAACATAGGTGTAATTTTTAATTTAAAAAAAAACATGTTCTCCATTCGCTGCGAAGATTTCAGATTCCTTTTGCGGTCACGCTAGTTTTCGCGATCACGCTTAAAAGACCAAATTGACAATAATTATATTTTTTTTTTTAAACCAAAAAAGAAGTCCCGACTTTTCCAGTCTAGTTAGAAACATTAAATTCAGAGCATTTAACTTGGTGACAAAGTGAAGGAGTCTTGCTACATTGTCGCATCCCGACTTCTGTTCTTAATTTATTCACGCAACTCCCTGCCTTTACCAACTCATTTAAATACGTTGTGCCTCAACAGGGACTGAAAAGTGATTTCCATTTACTTCGTCTATTATAACTCAACTGTATTAGCTTCCTTCGAACTTCCTATTGCCATCGGGATTATGTCTACTACACTCGGCGGTGTAGTTTGTATCGATTTTTTTGTATGAAACGCACCAGAAATCGACGGCAAGTCGGGTTGGTCTCGTCACGTAATTTCTTACCTTGTTCTTGACCGCAGTACGCTTGGCTATGAACTTCCACATACCCACGCTTATGAGAATAGTGCATCATGGGTAATACTGTATTGATCGAGGTGAAACAAACATGGCTGCCATAATGCCTGTTGTTCGAGTACGTCACTGGTGTTTCTCTTCCTGTCTTAGAGTTCTCTGTTTTCTTTGATTTTTTTTATTTCAATTAAACAGCGATTTGGCTGTGACCATGCATTTAGTCATTGTCGACTGTTTTTCTCGAATTGGTTGATTGTCATAGTAACATATGCTAAGTACAATTAAACGTCCGGAGTTGAACAGTAGTCATTTCTAGCATGATTATTTAATTTAGTTTGATTCCTTCAGTTAAAAATTAAGTTTCCAAAATAAATAAATAATAATACGTACCCTCATGTATACTTCAAATTTTCATTAAAACAAAGTCAAAGTCTTTAAAATTGCTTTTCTGCCTGTTCGCCAATCCATTGCTCCAAAACACACCTTTAAATACTCGTATTTTCCCGGCATCGAGATGGCTCTGCCAACTCTTGTAATATTTTTAATTAATGATTAGTGTAGGGGTGACAGCTAAACTAGATTATTTTCTTACACATACACTACGTTAATAATACTGTACAAATGGAAATAAAATATGGCTTAATGGTTTGGACATTTATTAATTGTAAAGAACTTTACCGGATATCTACAACTGGAAAACCAGAAGAAGATTGCCGTGGTTTCATCATGTAAAAGACTGATTACAAGGTGTTAAACGAAAGTGACAATTAACTATTAATGGGCTGAGAGGGCGTGTTACAGTGATGTCTGTTAATTGGGAACTTATGCATATTCAGACCTCTAAAGGCTCATAATTAACACAGCCCGTGGTCTTTTCAATCTCATGTTGTGGTGGTGTAAACACCTCACCTGAATGGAGTCCCGGTCAAGCCTTGAACACTAACTTGCTGTGGAGTGCTAAGAGAACGATTGCTAAGATATTGTTATCATCGTCTTCTGCATGTGTTAACTCTTATTGGCATGGACTGTTCCAGTGGTCGGCAATGAAAGCCTGAAGAAATTGGTGAGTTTGACACCTTCGCCCATTGTGTAACGAACTATTCGCTACGTGGACAATTTCCAATGACTGTCTCCAGCTACACTTCTGAAATATACGTACTCGCATTCCATACTGCACACACATTAGGTTAGGTTCGTTTTATTTATTTATTTTATTTATTTTATTTATTTTATTTATTTTATGGGTTTATAAAAATTCATACTTTGTTGTAGCCAAAGAGATTGAACTTTTTATTTGCCGTCTTAACGTCTTGACACCTGATTATAATGTGCTATTTATTACTTTCCTTCCATGGTTTCGTTGTGCCAGTTCCTCCCGAGTCTCGGTAAGCTCTGCCGTTGAAATCTACATAGTACCGGGCGGGCAAGCTCCTAGGGTTTGTCCGGCACAACTTGCCATTGTTCTTGTTAGCTTTTAGCACCTTTGTACAATGGGTTACGCTAATCTCGAGCATTCGGTAATATTCAAAGCATGTTCGGAAGTGATAGTTGAACATCGCATGTACAATATTGAAAATGGCGTCTAGTTTGAATGCTGTTATTTCCGGAGATTTTGGCGAACTTCAATGGAAAATTGTCAGATATACCATTGATTGAAGAAGAACTGATGAAATATCGTGAATTTTGTATTTGTAATGGTAATGAGACTTAATCAATGATTACTTGTGACGATTGCATTACTCAGTGCGTGGGTTTGGCACCCGAAACTGTCAAAATTTTTTACCACCGGACAGCGGCGAACACCAACAGAAAAGATAGTATCGAAAGAAGAGCATGCCTAGACACTTTCTCTGTGATAATATTTTTTAGGAGTCCTTAGGAATTGTTGTTGTAGGCACTCAAAATCTTGTTCTAGTTACAGTTGCTATTAATTAAAACATGTGAAATTTGTGAAGTTAAACGTTCATCTGTTGAAATTCCGGTTATGAAATACGTATTTTGACCTTTCACACCTAAACAAACCCAGTAGTTTCATAATGCGCGTATATTTAATAGTCACATTAAAAAAATGGTACTTGTGTAAACAATCGCAAACTATCATAGACATCAAAGATGAGATAAACAATGTCCTTATCAGGATTAATTTGGGTTGAAACAAAAGGAAATAAGCCAGTTAAGAGGCTTAAGTGGCTACTTGATTGGCGTCGTGGCTCCTTCCGTTAGTACGTTCCATGCTAGGAGTCACTTCCTGGTACAATTTATTTGGTTTTTTCTAGTAAAAGAACTCACAACGTTGTGTGAATTCAGAGTGTAAACATCAGATTACTCACTGTATTTGATTATGACCTATCAGGTCACGGGAGACGTACTTTGCATTCTGGGACACTTAAAATAAAGTATTTTACAGTAGCTAGTACACAATCAATGTAATATTTTCATGTAAGAAAACACTGACGGTGATTCTGATTATTACATTAAAAGAATTGTTATAATTTATTGTCAAGAAAAACTGTTTCAATTCCTACTGTCTTATTGTGAATTTGATTTTGTGCCTATTGTTTTTTGAAAACTACATAACAATGTACATTCATGTATTATCTCTTTGTCCATCAATAGCTGATATCGGGTACCAATGTGTATGGTATACTGCGAGCCCCTAAGGTGGCTGGTACAGAAGCTGTGGTGTTTTCTATACCATTTAGAAAAGGCAAAGATGCTAAGAACCTTGGCGGCACATTGCATGGTATTGGTCTAATGCTGTCTTTGGCAAAGTTTTTCAGAAGTAAGTTGATGAATCAACTGTAAAAAAGAAATTCTGTCTAAATAGTGAAGTCTGCTTCAACTGAACAGTAAAATCATTAACATTATAGTAACTTTTAGAGCATTTATATTAGTGTTGTATCAATGTCTTTGCTGGTAAATGATGGCATTCAAATGGCAACTGTTCTACAGCAGTACATGTATATGTATGAGTATGTACGAACAAAAACTGGACAAGACAGAAACTGAAAAAGTCCACCTCAGATTCTGTAGGCACATTCTAAATGTGAATAACAGATCAAGCAACATTGCAGTAAGAATGGATACTGGTCGATTACCATTGTTACACTTACTATACTATAAGGCAATAACTATGTACAAACATTTAATTACATTGAAGCACAGTCCCTCCACACCTGGTTAGGAAATGCTCCGAGGTCTATTGTCACAATGCGTTTCGCGTTAGTAAAATTAGCTTACTGGTAATCCCCACACTGTCTACATCAACATAAAATTAGCATATAGTATGACATCATTAGCATATAGTATGACATCATTAGCATATAGTATGACATCATTTTCACCAAGAATACCTCGCAATTCATTTCTGTGCAGGTGTACACAACTTTATTTTCATGTTTCACTGCTGTGAAAGTTTCAACTTTCTGACTTTTGAGCATTTTATTTTAACGAAATGCGGGAAAACACGAAGATTTTGTCGACAGTGATATTAATTGGGATGACATAATGGAAGAAGAATCCCAGTATTTAGATGCAGGATATATGCATCGTCACCACCACCGTCGTCGTGTATGGCTTCAAGTTGACACCTTACCTCAAACAAGACTGAATTTTAACTGGAAAAAAACGAATGAAAAAATAAGAGAACAGCAATGGAAATAATATTTGCCATTTTTTGGGATATCTAACCTTCATATTGTACTAACTATATGATAGTTTAAGCCGAAATGTGCATATACGAAGGTCGATACAATCAGATACTTTCAGCATAACGGCGACAAAAGTAGGTATCGCCATCTTGAAAACAAAAATTCTGCCGAGAACATGTACCGAGTAACGTGACATACTGTTATCAAATATGATTAGAATGGGTCATATGACAATATAAACGGTTTGGTTATCTTAAAGCTACAATTAATTCCATCGGTAGTTCCTATTTCTCACGGAATAACATTTTCTGTTAGCGACACCAAACAGCCATCTATGGCAAAATCAAATGGAAAATGAATGACTGAAATGAACATCTTACCGGCACTTATGCACAAAGTAAAAAATATTGTTCGTAAATTAAAGTATCAAATAACAAATTGATTGTTTTGGGTGTGGTAACGCGATTCACCAGGGTTGAAACTTTCGTGGTACTATTGCCGTAACGCATACAGTAATAATGAATGAACATGGAAGCTACAGTTTGAAATCAAAATCTCTTTTTTTTCGTTATTTATAATGAACATAGATTTTAAACTACATGTGCTTTTTCCCAAAACCGATATGATCACACAGAGATTTGTAACTTTAAATAAAATTTACCGACTTTGATTAAAAACACGCAATATTTGTAGACTTAACACTGGACAGATGTGCTTCGAACGAGCTCCAAGATAATGCTATGACGTCACCGCTCTCTCTCCACAAGCGAAACACGCACTGTACACTGAGCTCCGGCGATTCACACCTTAGAACAATAGCGTTTCCTAACCGGAAGTTGAGGGACTGTGATTGAAGAAAGACAACATAGCTTTCAATGCTATGAAGGAAATGGAAACAAACAAAGAAAATGATTACTGGCTAACAAAACTCAACAAAATAGTGAATGAACATCAAATCCATATGGATATTACAAAACAAAACTTCAACAAAATGGCAGCAAAGTACTGCACTAACAAATGGAACATAGACATGCAAAGAACAGAATCTAAACTGAGGACTTACTGTTTATTCAAAAAAGACATTAAACAGGAATATTATTTTAACTGATAAGCAAGCGGTTCAAACAATGAGCAAATTCAGAATTAGCTGCCACCAACTATACATAGAAGTGGGTAGACACACAAAACCAAAAACAAAAATTCAGGACAGGAAATGTGACAAATATAACATGATTGAGGATGAAATCCATTTCATCACTGAGTGTGATCTCTGTACAGAAAATAGACAAGATTTATATAGTCTATTCTGCAATCCAAATTTCAAAAATTACAACAACAAAGATAAATTTATACACAGTTTAAACACAACTAACAAACAATGTCTACTTGGTTTATTAAATTACATACAAAAAACCTACAAAATAAGAAAAGTATAGGTGAAAATCAATTAATGTATTGTTGTGCTATATTTTCAGTGTGATTTAGTTGTTGTTTATTTGAAATCTATTATTGCATTATATGTGTAGTTTAATTGTAGTTTATTTTAAAAAGCTTTAAAACAGCAATTACCAAAACTGAAATGTCAGATTTCATTAAGGATGTAATTAGCATTATTCTACTGAGTTTGCTTTGGTGCCCACTGAGTTTGCCCTGCTCCACTGAGTTTGCCCTGCTTCCCACTGAGTTTGCCCTGCTGCCCACTGAGTTTGCCCTGCTGCCCACTGAGTTTGTCCCTGCTGCCCACTGAGTTTGCCCTGCTTCCCACTGAGTTTGCCCTGCTGCCCACTGAGTTTGCCCTGCTTCCCACTGAGTTTGCCCTCCTTCCCACTGAGTTTGCCCTGCTTCCCACTGAGTTTTCCCTGCTCTCCACTGAGTTTGCCCTGCTCTCCACTGAGTTTGCCCTGCTCTCCACTGAGTTTGCCCTGCTCTCCACTGAGTTTGCCCTGCTCTCCACTGAGTTTGCCCTGCTCTCCACTGAGTTTGCCCTGCTCTCCACTGAGTTTGCCCTGCACTCCACTGAGTTTGCCCTGCTGCCCACTGAGTTTGCCCTGCTCTCTACTGAGTTTGCCCTGCTCTCCACTGAGTTTGCCCTGCTCTCCACTGAGTTTGCCCTGCTCTCCACTGAGTTTGCCCTGCTCTCCACCGAGTTTGCCCTGGTGCCCACTGAGTTTGCCCTGGTGCCCACTGAGTTTGCCCTGGTGCCCACTGAGTTTGCCCTGGTGCCCACTGAGTTTGCCCTGGTGCCCACTGAGTTTGCTTTGGTGCCCACTGAGTTTGCTTTGGTGCCCACTGAGTTTGCCCTGCTGCCCACGGAGTTAGCTTTGGTGCCCACTGAGTTTGCCCTGCTGCCCACTGAGTTT